TCGAAAGGAAGTAAAGGAGAGAAAGCTACTGCCGACGAAGAAAAGATTTGGGCGAAGATCGAACGAGAACAGAATGGATGGACTAAGCAGGTTTTCAAGCTACCCCCGGAGGATAGACCAGAGAGTATTATCAAGCCATTTAATCTCTCACCTTCTCTACTTTCTGGCTTCCGCTACCGTATGCAGGATGCTTACCGAAGTGTCACGGGTAAAGCGGTAAAAGAAGCGAGGATCAAAGAGCTAAAGAACGAAGTTCTCAACAGCGGAAAGCTCAAGGTCAGTTCGTTGCTTTTCAATGCTTCATTACGGCTAAATTCTATTAGGCACATTTCGAAGATCACCCTATGGATTTAGAGTATCTTCGACACGACAAACCTTTACATCCTACAAGAGTTCAGACACATATGAAATATGTGCCATCCTATCTCCTACCTAAAAACATGACATCGGCCGTTAAAGTCGACTCGAGTACTGGGGAGCAAACTGGCCAGTTCGATGGAGCAATTGCAACTGGTGTCATAGGTAGGTGCTTTTGGCACGGGTTAATGTGTTTCTTACAGACCTTCGTAGGAAAAGAAATGAATACAAACGTCGGATTCGTTCCCTTCAATAAGCGTGGCCAGCACAGAGGAAGAGGAAGAGGGCGAGGGAGAGGTACGAACAATAGGCATCACCATGGTAGTGGTAGGAAGAAAAACGATCCTCTCAAAAAGTTTAGTGTTTGATGGGGGACACAGCACCCACGAGTGCTCCGCCTGTATCAAACATAGCATATCTTCTGTAAACCCACCAGAGTTATTGCCTGTATATTATCGATACTCTTTCACAGTAACTTCTATGATTTAAGCCGGATATTTCCATCTCGTCCTCGGTGTACAAACTGTCAGTTCTATTTTGACCTCTCCCACCGCCACCATGTACGAAGACGACCTCTCTGACCTGTTACCACAACGCCGCACAGCGCTCCCATCTTTCAATGATGATGTGGATGACCCGTTCAAAAACCCCTTTAACGATGGTTCTGATCCATGGGCGGCCCAACCGACAGGTAAGCTGCGACACGCTTTATCAAATAATTGCATAGAGCTAAACTCTCGTAAATTATACAGCTGGTGGATTTGGAGATTGGAACACGAATGCTTTCGCAGACGAACCATCGCACAACATATCTTCTCTGCCGCAAGACCCTGTTCCAATATCTCCGGACTCTCCAACAGCCTCTCGAAGAGATGATCCAATAGCTCAAAAAGAGGATGTTTCCTCACCTAGTCACCATGACGAGCGGCCTCCAACAATATATGCAGAAACACCGGTTGTAGAAAATGTAGTATCAGCTACACCATCTACTGCAGTAGTGGATCCTTTAGATGCTGCCTTATCCAATGTAGAGGAACCTCCAGAGCATATACCAGTTTTCAAAAGAAAGCTACCATTGGTCATTAATGACCAAACTACGACAACCCCGGAACCCTCGGCAGCATCCGATGCGAAGACAGAGAAGAAAGGACAGGACCCTGAAACAGAAGCACCAGAAGCGAACGAAGATGCCAACAAAGTGGCTACTACGCCGTTGGCTACCCCTACTCAGGTCACTGAAGAACGCCCCAGTGATTCTGCTGAACCGGGTACACCAACGGTATCAAAGTCGGAGATTAGCCACCCTTCCGACTCTCCTCAAAGCCTCCATCAGAGGGAGTACCAGTCCTATCTCAGCCTACTTTGGAAATTCCATCATCCACTCCAGACACGTCGTTTTCAAACGATAATCAAGTAACTCCTCCGCATTCGCTAACGCGAGTACAATCCACTTCCGATATTGAGAGCAAATCATCTTTGGATAAGGTCGCAATCTCTCCTCTCGAGCGAACACCCGCCATGCTCCCCAACCCTCTAGACAAGACATATACTGCACCACCGCCTTTATCACTGGGAAGTGAGATGGGTGCTGGTGGTTGGGGTGATGGTTGGAATCCTGCTCCATCTAATGGAAACTTTTATGCGGTTTCCAATACAAGTGCTCAACCAGCTTTGGAACAATCGCCGACACACGGGGAGGAAGCCGCCAAAGAACGAGAAGAAGAAGATGTGAGTAACCCCAAGTTAATAACCTTGATTTATATAGTAATTCATGCTCATCGTAATTAGCCTGAAGATAATATTCCTCTCGCCCACTCACTCCCTAAAGCTCCGATTCCAATGTACACTATTACCGTTGGGGATCCACAGAAAGTGGGAGACCCAATATCTGCCCATATCATTTATACTGTTCACACCAAGGTCGGCATTCCCTGATTGTCGTATTTGCAGAAACTGATGCCTCGTGCCCCAACCTCGTCGACTCAAACTCGCAATATATACAGACGACGAACTCAAACTACAAGAAAAGCCAGTTTTCAGTACTGAGGCGTTATTCAGACTTTGTTTGGTTATTTGAAACTCTTTGTAACAACAACCCAGGCGTCATTGTTCCTCCTATCCCTGAAAAAAACTCTTTCGGTCGATTTCAGGAGGAATTCGTTGCAGTAAGGCAAATAATTATCTCGTTAAGGTTCCTGATAACATTTGTATATAGGCTCGACGCTTGGCTCTCAATAAATGCATCCAAAAAATGGCCAATCATCCAGGACTATGCAATGACAAGGACTTGCAACTATTCTTGGAAAGTGATAACTTCTCACTAGATGTGGGTATCAGCGTTACAATTTCAGTGTTTTGTCATCTTAATGGTTTGGTATCTCAGATCAAACACCGACGGGCTGAGGAGAATACTGGTCTACTCTCGATGTTTAGCAGTACGATCACTGGAACAAAGTTTTACGAAACCGACGAATGGTTCGAAACCAAAAAGGCCTATCTCGATGGCCTCGAGAACCAACTGAAAGGATTGGTTCGGTCCATGGAGGCAGTCGCGAAACAGAGAGCTGGTGAGAATATTGAAGTGATTCCAGCAAACGAAGAGTTGACATTTCTGGTCCCTAGAATCATCACAAGCACTGTCGGAGTTGGCTGAAACCTTGGAGGCTGTATCCACAGCAGATATTTCCAAACAACTATCGAACGCATTTTCTCACCTTGCAACCGTCCAACGCAAGGCTAAAGAATTACAAGATGAGCAAGCTCAACAAGATGTAATCACCTTTGCTGGGACAGGTATAAACAACCTCGATGTCTTATCGACTCCATGCTGATATGCTATTTAGTTGAGGAATATGGGCGAATGATTGGTTCTGTCCGAGTAAGTGGCCTTGTTAGGAATTGACCTACTTGATTTTGATTCCTGAATCTCTTTTGCCTCGTGGTTATCTGTGCCTGACACTGACCCACAGTTGGCCTTTGGTTCGCGCGTAAAATGCTTTAATCAGTGGCAGAATGCTGAAAATGAGCTTCGACGTGTCAAAACCAACTACGATCGTGCCAAGAAGCAATCTAAGACACCCGAGAGATTGCATTATTTCATGCAAGAAGTGGCAGATGTAAGCTGTTTATTTTCCTTAGTCAATCATCACTCGTTTAGCTTTTCCTTTACCCGTTCTTGAATGCTGAACTCATTATAGGCGGAGCGCAAAGTCATCCATACCAAATCTGAGTTTGAAAGGGTTACGAAACTTCTCAAGATAGAGCTTCACCGATTTGACATGGAAAGGGTAGAAGATTTCAAGCGTTCCCTTGAAGCATTCTTGGATGGGATGATCAGAAGGCAGAAAGAGGTGAGTGCCATTCTTTACCTCCCGAAAGCTCGCTCAACCTCTATATCTCGCAGTTAATCAACTCTTGGGGAGAATATCAGAGCACACTCCTCCAGAAGAGTGAGACCAATCCTGAATCTAATGGACCCGAAGGTGATGAAGAGCCGACTGCCGTGTCATCCACAGCGTAGAAGTTATCTATTTTTAACTCTAGTCTAAACGTCAAGTACTTTTCATAATGTCAAATAATGGTGCCACCTGTTACTTGTAATTTTAATCCATTGGTCTTGAATTTAAGTGAATTTTCAAGGAGCGACCATAGCCACTTCAGCAGCTTGTACCAGTCGACCACCCAGCGCTCCCCGGTTTTCTTCAATATGTCTTGGGTTTCGATTTTGGCATCGGTGGGGATGGCCGTAGGTCCACCACTGGTTTACGCAGACCAAAGTGAGTGGCATTTGCCTCTTTACCAGACAACGCCTTATGGCTTCTCGAGGCAGTCTACGCCAAAGTCGGAAAGGCTAACGAATCCTGCTTTCATAGGTTACTCCATTATAAAGAAGAAGTACTTAAGCCTCTCATTACACGACTTCTATGTGTGAATGCAGTCTGACGGAGCCACGGAATCTGTATAGGGATGCTACAGGCTTTTCACGGGACGTGACTGCGATTCTTCTGATTGCGAACATCACAAGATGCATGTTTTGGATTGGAAAGCGCTTTGAGTTTGGTCCGTACCCTCCGCTTTCAAAGCTGGTTGACAATGTTCTCAAATCGTGTCATCAGCATTGCTCGTTCAGAGTATCCTCATGATTCTCGCCCAAGTAAGAGGATATATCAAATGGGATTATGACATACTGAACGTTTGTTAGCTGGCATTGCTCTACATATGCATATTATATCGGCCGCGACATGAACCAGTTTCAACTCGTCCTTTTAATTTTTGGCAATGGCCATATTATTCGACTTATATTGAATTCCTCGCTGGGATGATGTGAGCTCCAATAAGAAAGGCTAGACGAGGGACGGTGGACTGACCATGTGTGCAGCGTATGCCAAACCATACTGGTCCTGATATTCGGACGACAGGAATGGTTCGTCGATACATTGGGATTCTTCTCTTTAGGCCTAGAGAGTACTCTGCCGTTGCCGCAGCTTCTGAGGTGGGTTGCATCCTTGTTATGGAGGAAAACAGGAATACTGACCAGTCCCACAGTAATTTCAGACAAAAGTCACTTTATGGGTTTCGTACGTCTACCTTGTTGGGCTGGCTAGGTGGGGACGGATACAAGTAAGCGACCAATAGTCCATCCACTTCATAGATCATGGTCACTTACAATGATACCCCAAGAACGGCGTATTTCTTCCTCCAAGGGTCACCTCTTCAGTTTCAGGTGTGCGCTGTCTTTCAGCTGTCGGTAGATTTTGGTATGTCATGTTCCATGCGTCTTGTGCATCGGTGGAAAGTACAAAAACGGCTTGCTGACATTGGTAACTCAGCGATCGTGATCCAAAGGATGGTATATGGTGACAAACCTCCCCCGGAGTCCCTGGCTGTTGACGAAGATGTTGAACAAGCGCTTCGGCTAGACAGTGATATGGAATAGATACCCTTTCGAACCATATGGCTCGACGAATGTAAGGTCCTTGGTGACAGGCTTGTGCCTACAGGTGAACTGTTTCAGAGGGACTGGCCTTACATGTCTCGGTACATGAACCAGACCTAGCTGCACTGACTGGCAAACGTTCCTTATGGGTTTTCTTCCCTGATTGTGGTGAAACATCAAGGCAACCGTTTCTGCTCGCCTCAGGAGCTGGTCGCTGACGGACACACCCTGTTCGCACAATTGACCTGAAGTGAGCCGGATCTCAGTGCTACGGCAATATCTCAACCTCCGGATTGTACCCTCTTTCTCGTTCAAGTGGAAACAAAACTTGGGTTCAGGGTAACCCTACTCCCGAAACTCCACCTCTTGGTGAGTATTGCATCGGTAGAACTTTTCCTTCAAGTATACTCTGTCCCGATTTGGACTAGGGCCATTTGTCCAGTCTTCAATGTGGTTCTTGCCATTCACGGCCAGCTCTACTTACAAGATCCAGTACCGAACAAAGGGATCGCGGGCAGATTTTGCAATGCTCCTCACGACCTACATGACCGTAACACATTGATATACTTCCAGGGAAGTGCTCTTTGCCCATTTCTGTGCACTGCTCGAGTTTCAAGGATGTGACTCACACGTGGGAGTGGCAGACATGCCGCTAAGTGGTTCAAGGGTGCTATCACTGACAAGATTTATATTGATGATCACTTTTTATTCTGATAAATTTGATGATCGGACAGCACAACTGTAAAGTACGCGCACGCGAAGAGCCCACTCCCAAATTGAGAATAGCATGTATTTGACTGATCATTAAACACCAGCAATTCAAACATGACCTGGAAAGGAATTCTGGGGGGGAGTTCCTTTCTAGTCCATTGACGTGGCAGAAAAGGCAATATTGGCATGATAAGTGTAGCGATGAATATGGTGATGCCCACCCAGCGAGAACATCGGGATCTCGATTTTGACACTCCAGCCTCCCTCCACTCAATGCGTGGATACAGACATGGAGGAGTGAGCGATGTTCATCTACATTCACCTTCATCTTGAGGAGTTATTCTTTTGTCCACGACATATGATTTCGGTTGGCCGACGCAGAGGCTATTATGGACAAAAGACCCGATTTTGTCATTCAAAACCTATACCACGCTACCGATACCGAGACTGCAGATCGTCGGGGGCAGGTTTCCTTTGTTTTCCATACTACCGTTGCCCTCTGAATCGCCTGCTGGGTGGGGGTTTGGTGTAGAGGCTAAGTGTCCAAATCGAGGACAATCGGAGAGTTGCATAGGATGTGACACCCAAAACGTCCTCGCCGCGGCACTGCACTGGACGCTGACAGAAACAGGTCTCTCAACGTCCCCGACTCACAAAAGGTCGGTGCTGACGCTCGCCGTACCGCCTTGAACCCTAAAAACTGCCCAACGGGGGTGAAGAATAGGGGATTTAAGGGATCGTAGCAGGTTTCACTGGAATTCGAGTTGGGTCTGTGCCACAGTGAAGGGACACTGGTGTGGGGTGGACGTAATATCGATCGAAAGCTGGAAATAACCACCCTCCATTCTTCGGTTCCATCTGGGGGCTGCTAACTACGTTTTGATTCCTATTCCTTGGTACTAGTTGACTTTGTAATTATCAGCAGTGTTGCTTTCCCTGGTTCCTGGCCATGGCCACGGCGGCTTCGAATGCTTGGGAGATAGAATTCAATGATCGAAACGGCGATGGGTGTGTCTTGAGCGGATGATGAGTGAGCAAGACTGACTGTCTGTTCACCTCCCTTGCTATGTAACCAGGAAAAGCAAGTCACCGACGCAAGTATGACAGCCGAGAGGCGGGAGAATTGCTTTATGACCCCTGTGGAAGGCAGCGGGGGGCAACGAGCCGCTGTTTGTAACGAGTCTGAAGATGGGCGCATGTCACGGATCAAGGCCAGGTCGTGTACGATGAGTTCGAAGAGCTACCCCCACCCCTGTAGGAATATTCTGCTGCTCCGAATAATAGCAGCACTGGTTCTCAGAGTATGTCTTTTTGAATTGGTGGCACCAGGTGTACAGCAGCAGCCTCGATACGCACCACAATTGACAAAGGGAGTTCCTGTTCGCCTCAAGCGCTGTATTCCCAAACGCAATCAATAGAGCCAATTGAGACCAAAAGTCGTGACAGATGAATTTTTAAAACCTTTTTTTTGGTGATAATATCCAATTTGGTTCCCTTTGTTCTGTAACCGGCCGGGCTATATCAACGCTCCTCTTCTGACCGCTGGCAGCTTAACCGCAACTCACCTCTGATCCTCTTTCTCCCTCTCTCCTCCTTTTCCTTATCGTCGATTTTCCTTTCCCTTTTCTCTAATCCGCATCCGCCACCGTTATTTCATCCTTGGATCTCCCGGTACCGACCATTGCTCGCCTCTCCTTCTTGTCTGCCCCAACCGCGCTGCCTCACGTAAGTACATATACCAGCTCACCTTGTCACATATACTTATCGCCTTATCCCTCCTCTACTCCAGGAGTTTACGATTTCCCACTTATCGTTCATGGACGGCTTTGAAGTATATCAGTACCAGGCGTACTCTTTTGAGACCTATTCGGCCTCAAGCGCAGCTTCAAGCCCTCACCTTTCTACGCCATCTCCACCCCAATATCAGAACTATGATTTCGGAGCTGGTCAGCCTTATTCGTATCCCTCTCTGAACCCCTTTACAAGCGGAGAGTATTTGCACCCAAACGAGGTTCCTATCAGCATCGCTCCCCACGAATTGCATGAACCAGACTATCTGCTCCTTGCCCAACCAGAGCCGGCTACCGACGACTATACTGTCATGCAAGCTGTCATGCCGCCGGAGTCACTGGTAAACGAGCAGTCCCAGAGTCTGACCTGTCAAGTCGCTATGGACCTCTTCCCGATGAAGAAGGACAGACAAAGAGGTAATGCCAACCTCTTACGCTCCGTGAGTGTTGGTCCCTGTATCATAATGCTATCCCTCGCTGACTGTTTTATTCGTACAGTCAAGAGACCCAGAGCGACAACATGGATGCAACATGTGCATACGTAAATTCAAACGTCGCGCAGACCTTGCGCGGCACATCAAGCGGCATCAGGGTGTTCGTCCTTATGAGTGCCTTGGAACCTCTTGTCCCCTTCCACCACAACAAAAGTTCTTCTTCCGTGCTGACGCCCGCCAGCGTCACTGGAAGGCCTACCCGCAGTGTGAACGAGAGTTCTATGCCACTGAAGCAGGCATGGAATGGTGAGTGGGGATAGCATTGGTTCTTGACGCGTTGTTATTGACCCCTATCTGCAGGCAGAAGAAAAATCGGAATAGATCCCAAAAAAGCCGTGGGCTACGACGATACCAGAAGGCGAGCTCTCGTGACTCTAGTCTAGAAGCCAACAGTCACGAGGGTGACGACGATTACGACGATTCAGACGACGCTGACTATCGAGGTTAAAACACCATTAGTTGCGAATGACTCTACGACCTTTCATGATCCACCCTCCTTTCACATTCCCTTGACCACTCTCTTTCGCATAACTTCTATTTGTTTTCGTTTCGAAAACCCACACTCGCTTGCCAGCTAAATCCCATTACGGCCAGCCAGGCAGCTAGCCACGGGTTCCAACCCATCGCACGGCTCTCGCAGCCACCCTCACCAT